CTATTAAAAAAAAAAAAAAAAATACATATACAAGAAACGCTTACGCAGTATATGTTCAGTACAACAACTATATACACGTAACAGGCCACAGTGCGATCACAATATGATAAGGCAGCAAGACAAATAATGATATTGCCAGCCTATATGAGAAAGCCCAGCTGAATATAACGAGGATTGAATAGAACCTTGTCACTACGATTTAAAGGGCTATCTCTAGATACCGCTCACCTCCAGGGCTCCGCGATAACCACTGCCAGCGGATGGCCCACCAGGATGCAGAGACAGGCCCCCAAATTTTCTTCGTTACTCGAACCCCGGCGACTCACTCAGTAGGTGCAGGCAACAACAGCTAGGTCCAGTGGCCTTGGTCAACCTAGGGACAGCAACCGGCAACAAGCAGCACGAACAGCAAGCAGTCAACAGGCATTCGAGGTTAGGAACGACCAGGTAGTCACAGTTAGCGTCTATCTCCAAGCTCCAGGAGGCTGAGACACCAACATGCAAGGTGAGAGCTCGTCTTGGCCTCAGAAGAAGGTATACCTGCTAAAAGAACTCCAACGGAGGTATAAGACAAAATGTTTAACTGGATATAGCAGGAGCACACAAAACGACGTGATGTCAGTTACGCACCTTCAGAGAGAGAGAGAGAGAGAGAGAGAAGTAGTGAGTGGATTGACGAGGTGTACGAGAAGCCGCGAGGCGTATACTGTATGCTCAGGAGTGCCACCATTTTTCGTGTGCTTCGCTGGATGTGTGAGAATAGATAGAAGGGTAAAGAAAGAGAGAGATCAGGACGACGAGAGTTACGTCGAGGACAAAAGAGAAAGCGAGAGAGAGAAAGAGAGTGTGTATGTGAATGTAAAGAAACAGAGCCAGCAGGATAGAGTAGAGAGAGAGAAAGAATATATTAGTGTGTGGGATTGGGGACGGAGTGTAAGTGTACGTATGTTAGCGTGGGTCGAGAACAAGCAGAAGCCCTTCCTAGTCCAGGACGAGCAGGACGTGGTAGACATGCACTCGTGGCTCGTATGGTGTGAGGCAGAGTCACTGCAGCACAATCTAGGTGACGATGTGAAGCGCTGTGTTGTGTATTGTGTAAGGAAGTACTATGTATTAGTGTTAAGTAGCTGAATAAATAGAATTGTAAAACGTATTTGTTTGTGTAAGTTAAATATTTCCCCTCGTAAAACAGAAGATCTCCCGCATCAATCCCCCTTTTTCAGGAGAAGAAACCCAAGGTATAAGAGGAACAAAGATGACGTACGTGATTGAGATTTGTTAACGCTGCGTCGGCATCTCTTTATTTTTTCAGGTTAAAAAGCCGTGTTACAGTAAGATTATAGGATGTTGTCCTTTTTGGTGCTTCTATTTTATTTAACTCGCTTATTGTCAATGAAATTTGATAAAAATCTTACCAATGATAAAAAAATATCTTGCGATCGTTTTTAATTAATTTTAACATTTGAAGGGCACTAGTAACAAAAATAGGAATTATAAGTAAGGTAAAAACTACAAAAGGTTTTTGTAATAAAAACTTTTAGTTGACTTGTAATTTGTAAAAATAAAGCGTTTCTTGTGTTTTTTAATACTTGTTTTCATACCATTGGCTCAAACTATAAAATTGGCATGTCCAAGGCAAGCTAGGTAACGGATGGCAGATTTAGTGATGGCCTGAATGTCATCATGGATAGCATTGCAAGGGCACTTGACTTTTCTCTTTCCAACTATTTTTCGTCCCTTCCCGCAGCTAGTCATCTTGGTCTATTCTTCAAAACATCGATGTCATACAGTGCGAGTGAACAGCGAAATAACTCAGTATGCCAATTTTTACTTACTCATAAGCAACTCAAAGCTCCAATAACACACAGCCAAACGTTTGTTCAAATCATTGGTGTACTATTTACAGTATGTTGCAGCTTACGTTTGAACAACTTTAGAACAATCTTTCAAAAATATTTAAAATAATTGAAAAATAACTTCAATCCAAAACTTATTTTATTTGGATGGGATTATTTGGTAGAAATTTGTGTACGGGTTTATTCAAATAAAAACCAACTACAGTCTGCAGTCTGTACCAAAAAATAAAACTTCTCATTACTAAATTTAAAAAGCTTGTTGAATTAGTACTTCAACCACATCTCATTTTAAGCTCTTTTTGTTGCTTGCCAAACAGAAATCGTAACTTTACTTTATGTTGAGCTACAATGAAAATGGTTCTACTATGAATTTAGGACAATTTTAGTGGCACTATTTTTATTTTATGTGTAGATATTATAATTCTGAGCAATTTTTTTTTATAATCATTTAATTGATAAGTTTCTTAGTTAACTTCCAGTTCTCGCAACACTATCATATAATAAAGTTATATCTTACGTTTTCTAAAATCTATGAAAAAATTGACTAAAATGGAGGTACGCTGTAATGATAAAAATAATAATTCTCAATGTTGTACATTCACATAATTAAAAAAAACTATTTTTACTTATACTATGTAAAACAATTTTGGAATTTAAATGAATAAATACATACATACACACTATATGTATGTATTTATTAATGTAAATAAAAAAAAAAATCTTTATGTAACGTTTTTTTTTATTTTTTATGAGTTCACCACCAGATATGGTAGTATTGAAAAATTAATTTTAATGGATCCTACGTGGATGCACGGCAGCGCTTCATGCGAAAAAAAGAAACTTGTATAATGCAATGTACGCCCATTTCTTTATTTGTTTCGTAATTGCACAGGCACTAAGTTGGGAAAACGTCCAGCAACAAAAAGCTTACGATCCCTCAAGGAAATATGTGGAGAAGGAAAGGGAAAAGCACGAGCGTTTGTCACCCTCGCTAAGCAAGAGATCAAAGAGGTTCGAAGAGGGTACAGAAACCAATAATTAATTACGATCTTCTCCTTTTCAAATACGTGCCCTCGAACGACAAAAAACTCTGCTCTCTGAAAATGCAAGAACGACGCTCTTGATGCTGAAAATAAGCAAAGAAACAAAGAGAGCATGCATTAATCGCCGGAGTTCGCAAAATAAGCCACACAATAGAATTAAGTAGACAGCTTTATGTCAGCAGTCAAAAAATGTTACAAGAGTTTATACAAACAACAAAAAAAACAAAATCAAACAACATACATTTTCAGATGTAAACAATAATTAGTATATTAGTAAGTATAAACGGATAAGCACTGAAACAAAAGCAAACTAATAAAAAGCATTTGAATAAACATAATTGTGCATTTAAGCAATAATCGATGGTGCATTTAAGCTAAATATAATGGTGTGTTGAAGCAATTATTAAAATTATGCCAAGACGGCTTGCGACAAAGTGCCTGGTCTGGCAGATCCTAAGCTTAAAAACCAAAAAAACTGAGGAGCTCAGTCGAGCCAGATCTGAACATAGAATGCCGGAGCCCCCGTCTCTCCAGACCTTGAAAATACCAGGGCGGTCTCAGCGGTAGGCGCTGTTTTCTTGGTTAGTAAAGGGGGGGATGGTGTAGGGAGCCATATGCCGATCCAAACTAGATAGTAATGCTGACGCTCTGGACAAAACATGCCTTTGGTTATCAATTGCGTTTCTTCTTGCGCGTGCCTATTTAAAATACAAAATTATCGCGATTCGTATTGCGTCAAGTGATATGAATAATAATAATCAGAAAAAACAGTATAATAGGCGTATATCGATGGTATGCCACTCTAGATACTAACAGTATATAATATTTGGACTTTTTTGTCATACCAACGAGAAATAAGACCTGGTAGGTTACAATACATACATACGTACATACATGCGTACATACATACATAAAAAACGATGCCCAGCACCTGTTAATATGAACAGATATTTGACTCAATTTTTTATTTCGAACCTCAGATTCACAGTAATTTATTAATTGTCATATTTACATTGCAGATATTTCAAAATAAGTTCTCTAAACAGCAATAAAAAAAAGAAGCTAACCACCATTTAAACCGATAACTTAGGTTACCATTTAAACAGATAACTTAGGTACCCGGAACATATGATAAACAAAGGAAAAAATCTTATTAATAATCTATCTTATTACTGTAGAGAAGATAGTTAAAAATCTTGGAGATTTCTTATCGGTTGTCAAAATGTATTGGATATACAATGCAAAGAGCGCTTAGGAGCATTAATTGACGAAGATTCTAATATTGCGAGTTGTAATATACGTGGTCGGCCGGCTATATAATAAGGAACACACATTATCTGATAAGGTATTTATTGAACAAAGTTACATACATAGGTGAGCGTTAGTTATATGTAGTTACCATACAACAATAAGGCTGTCGTAGGTGGCGTGGTGTATGCTAGGATTGCTGGGTTGATACGCATATGGATATGCGCACCAACACAACTATCCTTCACACTTAATCTAGTATTACCGTTAAAAATCAAGCCCTACGATCTCACGTCAAGCGGCGTGGCTCGTTTG